CCTACAACCCAATCCTTCTGAGTTTCTGTTTATATAAACCTTAATTACCAGGCCACGGACTGGCCCAACTACACCATGGACTGGCCCTGCCATGTTATTTATTTATTTATTTTTATTAATTTTTGGAGAAGTTTTTGATATAGGGCATGTGTGCTAGCAAGTAAGACAGAGACAGAGAGATAGAAAGCAAGAAATCACCCCCCAAAGAGGATGGCCACGCCGCAATCCCTTCTCAATTCTCCTCTCGGGATCTTGGGCACGCACGCACACGCACGCGCCCAGCATGAGTTTAAGCCATGGGGTCTGGGACTCGAACCGCAGTCGACTACATGGGAGTCCAGCAACATAGCCATTATGCCAACTTCTAGTCCCAAGCCTTGCCATAGTTTAAAACTATAGCCACATTGGCCATCTCAGGGGCATGGCAGTACTGCACTATTCACATAGTGTTAGAGCCATATGGAAGCTCTCAGATTTGGTTCCCCAGTCAACCTGTACACTGGGGACACAGCTATGATTCTGGCTGTCTGGGAAGGCTGGGCAGGCGGTCGGGGGAGAGTGAATCACAGCATGAGTGGTGCTTGTCTCTCTCATGAAACTTAAAAAAAAAATTGAAAGCATAAGTACAACTCCATTATCATACCAATAAGTACAACTCCATTATCATACCAAAAAGGACATTATTTTTCTTAATACCATCAGGTATCCAGCCAGTAAGAACTGAAGTTTGTAATTTGACCCTCTGGTTTCAAGGAGCCATGACTGTTCATGGTGGAGGTATATTCCATCCATATTGTACTTAGATCCGTGATTGATCTCAGTTCAAGGAGAACATGAGGGGTTCAGAAAGAGACAACCTTTTGCGCCAGCAGGTGGTGTAGAGGTTAAGGTGCATGGTCCCACGTGGTCTACTGTGTGGTTGAATCCTGGCTCCTACAACTTGAAAAAACAAAAACAAAAAACAAACGAACAAACAAAAAAACACTAGGCACGTGTGTGCCCAATATCCCAAGAGGAAATGGGAGAAGGGACTGTGGTGTGGCCATCCCCGTTGGGGGTGGGGGAATGATTTCTTACCTCCTCTCTTTCTCTCTCTCTGTCTCTCTCTCTTTTTAGTGAACACATATGCCCTATAGCAAACTAAGAAAAAAAAGAAAGAAAGAAAGAGAACCCCTCCTGCAAAGTTCCCCTTCTATAGTCTCAGTCATGGGGTGATGGTATTCAAGTTGGACCCAGTTAGAAAGATTAGCTTGAATGTCTTAGTTCTGTTACTTTTTTCTTTTCTTTTTTTTTTTTTTCCTTTTTCTTTCCTTATGTTAAATGGGAATACTTGTATAAAGATGAAATAAGATGCTGTGAGCACTAGGAAAGCTAACCTGTGGTGATGAAGTCAAAAGCCCTCTGGTAGGTATTACAATGCTGAGAGGGGGTGCAAGGGAAACTCCCCGAATGGTGGGAATGTCCTAGAGCTTGATCTGGGCAAAGACTTAACATACCTAAAAATGTATTAAGCTGTAAACTTAAGACACAGTTTACTGTATACAATCTACACCTCTGAAAAAGTAGAGAGGAGAGTCCCTGTGAAAGGCAGGCTTGAAAGTAAGCAGGTCCCTTATCTGAAACAGGCATCGGACAACACTTCCCTACTGCTCTAGATGACCAGCTTGGACAGAGTGATGCAAGCTGGTAGCCAGCACCAGGCCACCCAGGTAAGACGGGGACCAAGAGCAGACGACACGGAGGGTGGAGTCCTCAGCAAGCTTTGACCAGACCAAAGGTAGATGGAGAAGCTGGACTGGGATGTGAGGTGACAGTCAGAGCAGGAGCTACACTTAAGCCCAGTATCCAGTGTCTTTCTTCTCGACCTCACTGGAAGGTACAG